ATATTTTTATTAGGGCAAAAACGTCGTATCTCGCGGAACTTCTGCGACCCTTCCGCAGAACACCATTTGGGAACCGCTGTAATAGATGGTATGCAACTGCAGCTGGGGTAATGGTAAATTGACTCCCGGTCCCACTTAAAAATTGCCTCCCAAACCTTCTTAATCATGATGATGTTAATATTATTAATTAATAGATTAATTCAATAATGAAAATTCGGAAATCGGGCATTGGTTCGGAATGACATTCACCCTTACTTTTGTAGAACGTGATGAAGTCAGTTATTGTTCTATATTTGATTTACTGTCTACTGCATTATTTAAAAACGTTGTGATTATTTAATAAACAATTATGTATCAAAGATTCTTTAATACCTCCGTAATTTGAGCTGAAAATTCAGCGGAACTTGCTGGCACTACCAGTGCTTGTGAATCGTTTCCCAAAAATTTATCGGTTTTTTTTATAAAGCTCATCTTAATATTTTTCTTTTTATAGAAAAGCTTAAAGAGTTTCAAACATGAAATTACGTTAAATTACTGTAGTTGTTATAGTGAACTGGTATATACATCAGTGATCAACCCCCAGTCCTTCAGTCGCAATTAAAAGCTAGTTATAAATTAGTAACAAACAAAATAATTTCCAAATTATGTCACGGTTTCATGGAAGAGTATATGTTCGAGTAATTTAAACTTTTTTTCAAATCAAATTTATTATTTGCAACCACAGCCGAGAAAGTTTTTTGCCCACTAAGGCTCATAATATTGACATTTTTACTGGTAGCTCATTGGACTTTTTATTTTCTATAAAAAAATCAGGGAAAAGAATATTTTTGTAGAAATTTTCGCCCATATCAGACAAACAAAAAACCTACTCGAACGGTACAAAATTCGTTGAAAAGAACATAAGATTTTCTCTAAAAAAGTTCTCGTGTATTTTTTTTCGTCAAGATAACACTTCCAAAGTTGGTTTGAGTAAAAGCATTTAAACAAATGAATACAAAGTGGCCATTCCAAGAAACAATACCGCTATTCGATTCTACGAAGAAAAGCCTATGAAAAAATCCCTTTAACACTTTTTGTCGGATTTCATTTTTTTGGTGTAAAATCGAAAGAAGCAATGGTACAGTGTCACTTTATATATGTCATCGTACCTATAGCTCTGATGTTTATAACGATTTTATACAAATAATATGAAATTTCAGAAAAAAGAATCTGAGAGTATTCTCTTGGGTTTCAATAAGTGAATGTAATAGAAAACATTTAATAGAAACTATTATTCGCAATGCTTTTATCACAGAACCGTTTGAAAAGTAACCCTTAACCTGTAAAGCTAATAAAATTCTTATCTTGAAGAAAAAATGCAAGAAAACATTTTTTAATGGACCTGGACTTGTTTATTTGTTTAGGATATGTACATGAAAGTATCTAGTGAAGTACCAATTCTTTTCCATGCATTTTCTTATTATGGAAAACTACAAAGTCCAATAATAATATTATGAGCTTTCTTTGGACTCTCATCATACAATAGGACAAACAGTTGTGTCGGAGAACGAAGAACAATAGACACTTCATTATCATCATAAGGTCGTCATTTCTAAGACTGGTTGGACACGCACCTCCACTCCTTCCTATCCTGACCTAATCTTCGCATTTCCTTAAAACTAGAACATCCCACATCCTTAACTATTTGTGAACAGTAATCTAATCTAGGTCTACCTCTACTCCTCCTAAGTCCTGTTTCTGCCTCTAATAGGTCTCTCACTAGATCTTCATGCCTGTGAAGGTGTCCTACTAACCTATCTCGCCTATTTCTTATTGACTTCCGTAGAGTCCTCTTTTTTCCTATTCTTTCTAATACCTCTTCATTTCTAACCTTCTCTGTCCACGGTATCCTCATCATTTGCCGGTAATACCATATTCCGAACGCTTCTAACTTTTTCCTTTCCGCTGCGCTCACCGTCTATGTTTCGCACCCGTACAGCACCGCGCTCCAAACATACCCCTTCACAATCTTTTTCGAATTTCTAAATTAACCGTTCGCGAGCATAGAAGTGACTTCTTTTTATTGAAGGTGACTCGACCCTGCGCTATCCTCTGCCTTATATCTCTACTTTTCCTTCCGTCCTGATTTATCTAACTTGCCAGATACCTAAAATCAGTCACTTTTTCTTAACTAGTAAACCAGTCTTTGGACTTTGAAATTGAGAAAAGAAATTTTGGAAGATACATGTTACTTTTACATCTGACATCTGACATTTTCTGTGAATCATTACCTCTTTGTGTCCTCTTGAAAAGTTGGTACGGTTCTAAGCTAACGAAACAAAACAAATTCTCATTACTTATTGAACTTAAAGTAGCTAGAAGTTGTGTATTACTTTTTAATTAGCCACAAACCATAATTTATCGACATTTCCTTTTCGCTACTTGAGACCAAATCTTTTAAATTTTATATCGAAAGGGTTTACTGTTTTTGTTCTAAAATTATTGTGATTGATTGTTTTTTACTAAAAGATCTATGCAGGTGTACTTAATTCCATCCAGTTTTGAATTTAATGTTGCATAATAACCATGTCGCTTTGGAATTTTGACGTCAGTACTGAGTTGGTACGGATATTAACTATTTTTAATCGTTGTTTACCTGCAGCGACAAATTTATACAGTCTTGTAAAGGATGACAAGTTGATAGAGAAAAAATAAAACTGTACTTCCTTTAGTTATAAATACGGTAGTTATTCTAAATTAAGGACTCTTATTTGAAATAATTTTAAGTTTTATATGTCGTAAAGAAACTATTTTTGTACTTTGTGAATTGCCAGCAATGCATAGCATTATGGATTAAAACAGTATATAGGGTTTCCAAGTATGTAATTGTATGTAAGTTTATTACATATTAACTTTTTTTGATATATGTAAAAAAGGATCCATTTTTACACGGTACCTATTTTATTTTTTGTTTTATTTTATTTTAAGCATAGTTTTTTAAATGAACACAAAAATTTTATCCTTAAGTGTCATTTTCAGGTAATATTAACATATTTAAGTTTTGCTTGTTTTCGTTATTTCTTTTATTTTTCAGTGGAATCTCATTTCTTTTTCGTTACTTTTCATTCCTGATTTACTAGCTTCAATATAACATCATCCCACCAAATTCATTCCTTTATGCATCTGTTCACAATTACATTTAGGTTTAATACTAGTGTATTAAGCAAAATATAATACAAGATTTTGCATGATTTTACAGCGGGGTTTCTTCTAACTCATGTCCAAGTATACATTCTTGGTAAGAAAAGAATTTTACAAAGTTAGCATGGAATACTTTTCTACTAGACAAATAACAATAGACTCATTTAGGTATATTAATCATCGATCTACATACCCCAATGTTCTAAAAAAGATTGTAAGAAAAGCATACTGCACAATGTTCTAAACTATGAAACATTTTCTGCTTGAGCGCAATCATCAAATTACACCATCATCATTAGGATTTCTTATCTAGATCTTCCTCTGCCCTTCTTTATTCCTGTTTCTGCTTCTAATATGTCTCTAATTATACCTTTTTGCCTGAGATATGATACCAACCTCTCTCTCCTATTTCTTATTGATATTTACAACGCTCTCAGTTCTCCTACTGTTTCTAATTCCTCATCATTTCTAGCGGTAGTTTTAACATCCCCATATAACAACAAAGTTATTTTCTCTTGTTGTAAACACAAGAGATTCCTAATTTTATCTATAAGAAACAGTGTATTACTTATCTATATACCACATGTTCATGTGGTATGATTTTCTTACAATGTTTTTGGAACACCGTGTATTCGTAGTTTACATTTTACTTGTTTTTTTTATCATCAATATAGGCATTCATCGAGTTTAACCATCATTATATAAGTACTTTATTATACTTTGGAATCTTTGATGTATCAAAGAAATATTTATTGATAGGTACGATTATATTTATTTTAAATTTTTTAGGCTGCTTGGAAATAGTTAAAAATACACTATTGGACAGTGTATTTTATTGCTATTTAGCACTAGTTTGTAGTTTAGCTTAAATAACGATTGCATCATACTGCGATATAGTTTCATGCGAAAATATAATTTGTGTGCACGTTAAACTTTAGAGTACTTAGAAAACTAATAGAGCATGGTAAAGTTGCGAAATTATGAAATATTCCACTTCCATATGACATGCTAAAGCATGAAATTTTTTCAGCATCGATTAGAGGATTAATAATATCAAACGAGCGGTTACAGTTTTATCTATATATTGTTGCATATTTAAACCTAAATTTGATGCAAAATGCATTGTTTTAACAATGTTCAAAAGTACCTATAAGTAATGCCCAAACTCTCAAGCAAGTAGTATCGAAAAATTTATTCGTTACATAGCTATCTGAACTGTTTAAGTAGTAAATGTCCACAACTACAATTTTTTTATTTCTGTAAAGGACAAGGCCAGTATATTTCATATTTTGTATTCTATTTACATTTAAAAATATATCCGCGCAAAAATAACCCTTGATATTTGAGATTCTTTATTTTCCTGTATGCCTTATAAGAATACGAAAAATAGGAAATACTTTCACTTCAAAACTTTTTAAAAAATTAAGAAAATAAAAATTCTTCTTAGGTACTGCTTCCTAAAAAACTCATTTTTTGATATTGGCACTTGTGTCATTGTACCTTCCGTTCCTGTAAAAGTACACTAAATAAAACAGTTGTTTTCCTTTTCAAATAGCAATGTCATATTATAGACACAGATTATTGAGAAAATAAGTCTTTTTAATTGATATTTCAAGTATACTACGTATTTTGAAAGCATTAGTTAAATCTGAGCATGTTGTTTATTTGAATAGAAGTTATAGAACAAATACCTATATAGTAGTTCAAATAAGCACTTTTCATTGGTTAAAATTACGTAGTAAAAGTTTAATATGTTTAGTAACTCTAATAGTTTTAATAAAAAAATTATCTATTATTTCAACTGTAAACATTTGTTACAGGGTTCAGCTGATTCTAATTATTCACAACCTTCATCGGACCTGTCGCTGGACGAGGAAAAAGAAACGCTTCGACGTGAAAAAGAACGTCAAGCACTTGCACAATTGGAAAAGGCCCGAGTAAGTTTAGGAAATAAAATTTGTTTAAACTTGCCTTTTAAATTAAATGCTATAAATAATTCCTACTACTTATATGTACTATCTTTTATGTAATAAAGATAATACCTATTTTCAAGCCTTTTAAAAAAGAAGACCTTCAGTGATGAGTACACGTAACACTTGGTCTGGATCTTAACCGTAATTATCGAGTTATTTCATTCTATTTCGTAAATATATTAGAATTCAGGTGATAATTTTGCGAGTCTTCCGTTTGATCTAGGTCTTTCTAAATGTGTCACGGTAAGGCAAAAGAAAAATTAAAGACTAAGACTCATTCTGCTCATCAGATTTTGGAAAATAATCATCAGTATCATAAGGTCGTCAGACTGGTTGGATACGCACCTCCACTCTTTCCTATCCTGAGCTAATCTTCGCATTTTCCTAAAACTAAAACAACCCACAACTATTTGCGAACAATAATCTAATCTAGGTCTACCTCTATCCCTCCTAACTCGTTTCTGCTTCTAATTTCTATAGAGTCCTTTGTTCTCCTTTTCTTTCTAATACCTCTTCATTTCTAATCTTCCCTATTCACGATATCCTAATCATTCGCCTCTGCAACACCACATTTCGAAAGCTTCTAACCTTTTCTTTCCGCCGCGCCCACCGTCCATTTCTCGCAACCGTACAGCACCGCGGTCCAAATATACGCCTTTAACAATCTTTATCGAATTTCTAAATTAACCATTTGCGAGCATAGAAGTTACTTTGTTTTATTGAAAGCGACTTAACCTAGCGTTATCCTCTGCTGTATATTTCTACTACTCGTTCCGTCCTGATTTATCTAACTTTTTAGATACCTAAAATCAGCCACTTCTTTTAATTTTCTAATTTTTCGTTTCCTATCTTTATATTCTCTCTTTTCCTACTTTTTCTTCCCATGAATACCAGTATACCAGAAAATAGAATGTGAATAATGCACCGTATTATTTCCTATTTCGATAGAAAATATATTTTTTTATTCGCAATAGAATTGGGTACATTTCTACTTGCTCTCCCATCCAATATCAAAGGCCGTGTTCAGTAACTTCGTTATAGGATGTTGAGGAATATCTATTGTTTAAAATTGATCACTAGAGATTGCTATTGGATCAGTTCGATGATGGAGTTTATGAGATCAATTTACACTTGCCAATAGTATTACGCGGCCGAGTGCTCAAATCAGTCATCTCTTATTTGATTTTCCGGGAAATTTTGTACATTGTATTCCGTACCTTTCATAGCGTACAAAATAATTTGACCACGATTTTGTGTAGGTAACGATAAATATAAATATGGGAAAATTTCTAATTCGTCTAAAATGGAAAACCTAATTTAACATATACATACCTGATGAATACTATTTTAATTTCCAGGCTGTGGCATGAACGCTTNTTGATGTAAAAATACTCTGAATTTCGAATAATCGCTTACAAAATTACGATGTTTACTTAAGGTCTTAAATAAAGTATTTTTGCCTACTTTATGTGTCTTGTAAAGTATAACGTACGCACAGTCGAAATAGAGTACAATACTTTATAATAAAGTACGGGTGCATGTAGTGTATTTTAAATTAAAACAGTGGCGTAGTATATTTTTGGGTTTTCGGATCTATTAGAATGACTGGGAGGTTCTATATGATTCAACAATTACAAATTCCAATTAAAAACTAATGATTTAGTTAGGAACAAATACGTGAAATTTTTACCGCCTCATACGTTTGCGCCACCCTGGGCCATTACACCCTCGGGAAAATATTAGTTAGGTAGATGTTACTTAGTATGTCCATCTATTCTTTCAGGTTTTACAAAGATTAATAAAATCAAGAGGCAAAAGTCAGTCTCGACATTTGAATGTACAAATGGTAGCTGCCGACAAATTGGCTCAATGTCCTCCAGAAATGTTCGACGTTATTTTGGATGAGAATCAACTGGACGATGCCTGTGAACATATAGCGGAATATCTGGAGGTGACTCATTAAATATAAATTAAAATCCGTAATTATACGAGAAAAGTACTAAACGTTAGATTTAATAATGTAGGCATATTGGAGAGCTACTCATCCAGAAATTGTAACGAGTACAACACGACAGATCGGTAGTCCACCTCAAGCATCGCCTAGTGGAGACATGGGAGAAACGACGCTTCCAGGTAACTAAACATTTTTTCATTTGGAAAAGTTCAGTTCTCAAAAGCCATAAAATGAATGTCTAAGTATACTTCTTAGAATATTGTTATTTGTACAAATTGGATGCATTTATTATTATTTTTTAACTATTTGTATATGATTACTGATTAAGTACATATTTCGAAATACAGAATCTTAAATTTTGGTAAATCAGGTTCTTTGGAGAATAATAAACAATTAATGGGGAATTAACAAATTAAAGTTTGACAAAGTTTTTGAGCGGAGTGCGCCATTTGATAAAGGTTAAAAGGTCGTTCTAATTCCTTGAAATATTATTTTATTGGTTTCTTGTTGAACAACTAAAACTCATATTTAATCTGAAAAGGAATATACCTAGTTACTTCTCAGAATTTTTTAAGTATTCATATTTTTTTTTAAAGTTTATGACTTTTGAGATTCTTTTCCGTATTTTATTAGTGGAATGTATTTATTATCGTTTATCAAGCGCCAATTAATTGCACCTATGTAAGATTGTGTAGGTGTATGCTTAGAAATCGACGTAAATGCTTGTTGCAACAATTTTTTATCATTAGTATGGCCCAGAATTTATACCTCCTAAAGCTTTTGCCTTCTAACATATTGATTCGTAATAACCAAAAATACTACTCATTCACCCACATATGTAATTGCAGACAAACTGATTATTTTGATAACAACATTAATACTAATAATAATTAATTCAATTTATACGTATTGGTCTTGTTCTTACTTATTCGATCTTGGTATTGGTGTTGCTCAAATACTTCGTCTCATAAATGCGATCTTGTTTTGAGTTTTAAAGAAAAAGAAAATAGTTGTGAGAGATATAAAAATTTGAGAACTTACCCTTCCCCCAATACATAAATTGACGTTTTAGCGAACGAAATAGTAGAAGGNTAATGATGCATGTGGCAATTTTTATTGAATAAAAGTAATCTATTTATATAAATTAATTAATTTAGGGATGTTATCAAAAAGCTTATTATTATGACGTAAATTTTTTCCGATTCAACATTATAATAAAGAATGCTTAGCTATCAATTTCTTGATTGTAAATGAGCTGTCACCTTATGAAACGTCAAAAAGGACTTTTCCGCATGCTCATAAAATTCTTAACTGTGGCAGTCTTGGCATGGTATCATGATGCAAATATGACCTTGATATTGCGTTTTTTGCCAAAGAAAAAGCTCAAAGTGTAAGATCACTACTAACCAAGAACTTAATATTCGGCGAATTTTTGCGTTATACCTATGTACGAGTACGTCGTAGATTTGGTTAGTCAAGTAAAATGAAATGTTGTCAAACATTTTAAACAGGTACTACTATTAGCAGAAGGTATCACTAGATGGCGACATACTGCTATTAGTATGAACGCTTTAAGGTTTAAGCTTTCGTGTAAATGAAATCTACTTGTTGCGAATATCCTTGGGTAAATTACAAAATAAAAAAGCAGTGTGGTGGCCATGTACTATAAACATTGCGTTTATTGAAGACACAAAGGTTTTCTTTTCATTTTTCAGACGAAGCCGGTAGCATTCGCTGTTCGAACAAATGTAGCCTATGATGGCTCTTTGGACGATGATTCTCCAGTTCACGGGTACGCGGTGTCTTTTGATGTCAGGGATTTTTTGCATATAAAGGTTTGTACTGTGCTTTGTATTTCTATCCTTTACCAAAACTAAAATAACAACGTCTTAACGGCCAGTTAATCAGGATATTCATATTGTAGTAATTCCTAGTGTCTTTCCTTTGTGGTATAGGCCAAGTCTTAACTTTTTTTAATGTAAAAACGAGATTTATTTGGTTGCATGTATAATATTTAAGGCGTAAAAATTAGATGTGGTTGGTTGTCATGAGCCTCACTTCTCAAAAATTACATTATTTAATTATTAATTATTGGAAAAAATACAACCTGTAATCATACAACACGCTACTGAAGTGAAACTTGTTCAATCACACAAACATACTGGGATAGGGGTTAAGGAGTTGGTTTAATGGTTTAATTAAATTTTACACTATACATGCCGGAGTTGCCTGTAACGAACGTTGCATTAAAGCGCGCTCACGGCTCAAGCGATCCCCACTACGAACTCGGCTACGTGGCCGAGTAGACGGGGGACATCCGTTGCATGATTTCGTTACGTAGCAACTCGCATGAAACGAACCTACCCTACCGTGCGTAAAGAAGTTTCACTTCAAAAATAATATAAAATTAATTAGAAGTTCGTAAAAAACGAAATAATTTAAGATATATTTAAATATTCCGTTTCTCTGAGTGGTATATGTATGTAACTTTTTATTAGGAAAAGTACGATAATAATTGGTGGATAGGGAGGCTAGTAAAAGAAGGTAGTGATGTGGGGTTCATTCCGTCTCCGGTTAAGCTCGAGAACCTGCGTATGCAGGCATCGCAGGCCCGGACTACGAAGTTCTACTCGAGCAAAACTAGTTCCAGTTCCAACATTGGGGCCACTGGTAACGATGTTTCGAGAGGTAGCACCCCTCCTACGCCTGGTATGTCCCACCCAAATCACACGTGGTTTATTATTGGTGTAATTCTGTTCGTATTATTATTTTTTTCTGTACTAGTATTTCGTTTATATGACGGAAATTAATAATAATTAATTTGTTTTTAATTCACTCGATGGAATGGATTTATTTTTTTGGTGTATTTGTGACAAGATATTGCGAACTATGTGGATTGCCGATAACGATTGTTGCTCATACGTATATACTCAGGTAGAATTGGGTTATTGATGTAACCAGGACTAAAATTGAATAATTAATATTTTATTGAGGTTATTCGGTGGGATGAAGGTAACTGTTGAAATTGCTGTGTCGGTGTTATTAACTGAAACACCAGAAGTAATTTACTAAAAAAAACCTGTCCGATTAATTATTGTAGCTTTATATTGTTATTTAAACTTCGTGTATGGGCTTTCTATATTAGGAAACTGGTTTGTAAAAATTCATTGAAGATATCGAATTAAGTTTCAATTAATTCAATCCGTAATTGCCGAAATAATTTTAAGCTGTATTTCTATACTGCAACAAGGAGCGGAAGTCACACATATAATCAATAATTATACACCTGTAACCCTTAATCATTTCCTATTAGCAATTCCGTTGTTTTCCATTCCCACTGCTTTTGTATTTTCTACGGTTTCATGGTATTTACCAATTCCTTAAATGAACTTGCCTCTCATCACCACCAAGGACTGGTCGGACACGCACCTCCACTTCCTATCTTGAGCCAATCTTCGCATTTCTTGAAAATTGGATCCACTTACCCAATTTTTGAAAATAATTGTGACTTGGAGTTTTTGTTGCAGTCAATATCTTCTGTAAATATATGTACATATGTATAACGCCTGTTCTTTCTATTTTTGTAAATCCACTACTCATTCATCCCACCGAACTGTAGCATGTTGTTATATGATGGAAACATTGTTTTCAACAATTGAACGGAACAAAATGATTGTGTTTAACGTTGGTATTGTTTTTCTAATTTTTTTCTAAAATGATTATAAGCCATTCGCGGTTTGTTTCTTTATCTTTTGTTTTACGTTTTCGTACACTGTTTCCCACTAACCTTTTCTCACCCTGCTAGTTCCTTACCATTCGAAACAACTAAAATTCCTTCCCGGTGAAGTAGTGTATAGAAATAGATGAATTTTAGTAGTAGAATGAGCATGCTTTTCAGTAATATATTTTATTGTTCGGTATGGCATAGTAATCAATAGAGTGCCTTGTAATTTAGAGCTACGAATGTTTGATCTACAAATTCTCACACTTGATAAAGCAAACCCATAATCAAGGGACAAACATTGGAATTATATTTTATTGTTACTAAATACAATTAGAGCCATTTCCAAACGTTGAAGGTGCTCTAAATTACTCTTAGATTAGAACATATATTACTGGAGGTAGCTTTCTGTATACGGGCAAGTGACTTTCCAAGAGAAAAAGCAACAAAGCAAGTATAACTTCCGTTTCTTTCAGAACTTTCTTTCAAAAAGGCTTAAAACTTTAGTGTGCTTTATTCCCACTAGCTAATGTTTTGTTCTGAGCTGTTCTACCGACTTATAGTGTAGTTGAAAGTGGTGGGAAGGGTGAAATAATTTCTTCAGTCTCGTTTCGTGATAGTAGAATTATGTGGGTGGTAGTAGTTAGGGGGAGAAAGACGATAGGAATGAGACGAAGACGGCAAAAGGTCTATCGAATATTCAGCTCCAGTATTTGCTAATATGATCCAAAAAAACTGCAGAAAAACTTAGAGTACAGAACACGAATCCGGAATTTATCCGGAATGCTAACTATTTAGTCTTCTTGGGCTCGTGGGTTTATTTATAAGACTGAAAAGGGTAGGAGTAACAGCCAGCCAATCGCTTGCAATGTGCTCCTTTTCTTCTTCGTGTACAATAAGCTACCTCCACTAGTATACGTTCCATCATAAAGTTATAGGCATTCTATTGACAATTAATAGTCTATTTCTAAAAATATTTTCATATTTTATAAAGCGTTTTGGTTCTTCATTTGTTATTATAGGTGACGAATCAGATTCGATAGGTAATCCGAAGCCGGGGAAAACACTCACTACCCCACCCGCGAAAGAAAAGAAAAAAGCGTTTTTTAAGAAGCAAGAAACCACTGCTCCTTATGATGTTGTACCCTCTATGAGGCCTGTAGTTTTAGTAGGACCTTCACTGAAAGGATACGAAGTTACTGATATGATGCAGAAAGCGTTATTTGATTTTTTAAAGCATAGATTTGAAGGAAGGTAAGGAAGTGTCCTTGTTGATACAATTTAATAATCACTTGTGTATAATACTAACAAAAACACATTTATTTTTGTGTAAGTTTCAGAAATATTTATTTTATTATTTTTTTTATGTTAATGTTTCTGTTTGTTATGCTTTTGTTTTTATGTTCTAATTTGTAATTTTTGTTAGCTTTTGATTACTAATAAACCTTTTGATGTTTTATGAAGCTAGATCATTATTTTCTCCTTTATTTTTGGTGTATACATTCTGAAAATAATACATTAAAAATCTTATTTTATTTCGTGGCCAGCTGGTAAACTAGTGTTGTCCTGATTCGGGACTAAAAACCGTGGTCCTTTGGAATTGGCCTTTAGACTCGAATCAGAGCAGCACCAATTCTTTACTTTATTGATTTTTTGGTCATGCCTTTATTTATGTTCTAATTTGTAATTTTTGTGAAGCTTTTGATTACTAATAAACATTTTGATGTTTTGTGAGATCAGACCATTAGTTTCTCCTTTATTTTTGGTGTCCATATTACGAAAACGTATTGTGTGCAAAACCTATTTTTAATTTTTGAATTAAATTGATAAAATGACAGGTAGGTGCATAATGGTACAGAGAGAGATTTTGTTAAAAATTTAAGGTATTTAGAAATCCCATTTTACAAGTACTAAATTTTTAATGTTTTATAATATTTAGAAACTGTTAATTGCTGATTTTATTTACATGTTGTCGGCTAAAAAAATGTATACAGTTGAAGTGTTTCACTAGCTAGCCGTATCTATGCAAACTTACATAAATTGCTCTATAAAAGCACGTTTATATAATATCGAGATACGACAATGTTGTGCCATCTACTGATATTTGTTGCAAACTAAAGTATTTCGAATATTAGGCAGGTAACTTACGAAGATATCTACTTGTCCAACTGTCTCGATGGCGCACTTTATGCATGTAATCCAAATTAATAATGCATTGTCAATTTAGTGGATGGACAAGTAGTAGATACTTAACATTTGAAATATTTCAGTTGGCGGCAAATAAAAGTAGATTCTGACAAATTGCAGTAACTTGATATTATATAATGAATCCGTGGTTTAATCGGTGATTTATTGAGTCTGTCTACGGCGTGCTGATGAGATCAGATAAGATGGCGGTCGAAATCCACGTGTGATAGTTTTGACAAATTACTGACTAAGAAATTAATCCGTTCTTATTATATAATATTAATTTGAAATCATTTTTCGATTTTTTATCCACTACAAATTTCCTCAGGTTAATGAGGAAAAATATTTATCGCAAAGCCAAATGTCCCGGGTTCGATACCCGAAAAAATCGAAAAATGATTTCAAATTAATATTGCATATTAATCACTATTAGTAACTAACAATGTCAAAGGATTTCGTTCTTATTATTTTGTTTTGTTCGTTCCTAGTTTTACTTGTTTAATATTGGAAGTATGTGATGGTAATTTTTCTACTGTAATTCTCAATATAAATTTCGGTGAAATTTTATTATGATTTACAGTAAGTTGCTTTTTTGTCAGTCAAAACAATGCCAACTTTAAATTTACGCAAGTGTTGTACTTACGTACGTTAGTAGTCGAAATGCACGTTCATATCTATTTCAGGATTATCATAACAAGAGTTATGGCTGACATTTCTCTGGCAAAACGCTCGTTGTTGAACAATCCTTCGAAACGAGCCATTATGGAACGGTCCAATACGCGCTCGACTTGCCTGGCAGAAGTTCAAGCTGAAATTGAAAGAATATTCGAACTGGCCAGGACGCTGCAACTTGTGGTCTTAGATTGTGATACTATAAATCATCCATCTCAACTTGCCAAAACCTCATTAGCTCCTATTATTGTTTATTTGAAGATTACAAGTCCTAAGGTAAATATTTATTGGACCTTTTTCGGTCAATTTACTAAAAGTTTAAGAAAAATTACTTCGGACGCTTTGAGCCATTCTAGTTCGAAAACTGCTATAAACTTAAAACTGTTACAGTATTCCAAATTATATACATATATAATACTTGACGAAGGACTGTAATTTATAGCACTTCAACGTTCAAAATTAATTATAATTTGTGATTGAACCAGTTCCGATCTTGATCACAATCACAATCACTCGATAGCTGATAAAATTGGGGTTGGTACTGAAGTAAAGTTCTGTTGCTTTTTGCGGTTTCGTCGGCCTTAACGCCAACCTCATAAGGGTCTGATAGATTCACACATTCAACGCAGACAGACAGAATTTAATTGGCTTTAAGGCTGACGAAACGTCACAAAAAAGTAATTATAGTATACAGCGGTCTGCGAAATTTTTTTCTTGAAAAGTTTTTTCTTAAATTGTTAATATTTGTCGTAATTGTTTTAAAAGTAATAGAAAACGATATTTATATGCTATATACCACGTCACATTAACCCATAAATGCTCAGAGAACACATTTCCATTTGAACCCTTGCCACGTAATGAGTACGACGAAAAAATATTCGATAACTAGTGTTTCAACGTTTTTAACGATGCTCTTTTCCATGGTGTTAGTTAAAGTTACCTCCAACAATATTAAAGCATGGCAAAATCGAAAATAAACAAAAAAAACGTGGTTTTTGAGTTGACTTTTTTCTTAAAAAGTAATTTTTTGTCTTCTTACGATTTTTTTATATGCTTAAAACCTATGTAGATCATGACCTCAATATCTGTACATGAAATAATCATCGTTGGTCAAGTCGAAATGCCTTTACAAACTGTTTGATCAAACCAAGTTTAATGTAAAGTGGTGGAAGCAATACTTTCTTCTTTCAAACTCGTACTGATGACATTTTTCACTCCGAGTTCCAATTGCATTCTAATTTGGACAGAAATACCAAATAACAATGATTTTGATTTACCATAAGTC